TGTATGAACGTGCGTCTGTGTGTCCATGTGTCTGCATGTCTTGTGTGTGTGCATCTGTATGTGTATGTATTCATGTGTGTGTGCATCTGTGTGTCTATGTGCGTATACTGTGTGGGCATGTGTTTGCACATATGTCTTTGTGTCTCTGTGAGTGCATGTGTGTCTGAGTGTCTCTGTATGTGCATCTGTGTGTCTGTATGTTGTGTGTGTGCATCTATGTGTGTGCATCTGTGTGGGCATGTGTATGCACATGTGTGTGTCTGTGTGTGCATATGTCTGTCTCTGTGTGTGCATGTGTGTATGTCTGCACGTCTTGTGTGTATCTGTGTCTGCATCTGTGTGTGCATGTGTTGTGTGTGTGCATCTATGTGTGTTTGTGTGGGCATGTGTATGCATGTGTGTCTGTGTGTGTGTGCATGTGTGTCTTTGTGTCTCTGTGTGCACATGCGTGTATGTCTGCATGTCGTGTGTGTGCATCTGTGTGTGTGCATGTGTTGTGTGTGTGCATCTATGTGTGTTTGTGTGGGCATGTGTATTCACGTGTCTGTGTGTGCACGTGTCTGTGTGTCTCTGTGTGTGCATGCATGCGTGTATGTCTGCACATCTTGTGTGTGTGCGTCTGTATGTCTGTGTGCATCTGTGTGTGCATGTGTTGTGTGTGTGCATCTATGTGTGTTCGTCTGTGTAGGCATGTGTATGCACATGTGTTTGTGTGTCTGTGTGTGCATATATGGGTGTCTGCATGTCTTGTGTGTGTGCATCTGTGTGGGGGAAGTGCGTCTTTAGTCCTATACCTACTGTCAGTGTTTTTAGAATGGGCCGTATCCTCCCCATGTTCTGACTGCTTGTAAATTGCTAAGCACTAATAAATAGTCATTTTTACCAACTAACAGGGAAAATCTCAGAAAAACCAGTTCCTTAAAAGAGGAAGGCAGACTTTTATTTTAGACGCCCCACCCCACCGCCATCCAGGAGGTATCGCAGAGCCCTTGGAGCTGAAATGAAGCAGTCTGCAAAGCCTCTTCCAGGTGTCCCTCCCACCCAGCTCACAGGCCCTGGGGGGTGAGTCCCCTGAAGAGATGGCCACAGCTCTTTCCCTCTCAGGCAGCCCACGGGATGCAGGAGAAGGGACATTTGAGGCCTAGAATTTGTTAACACACCAGTGGGCTCGACTCCAGATGGGAGGGGATGGCATACTCCCACCTGCCAAAAATAGAGAGGCGGGGTCGAAGCCAGTCCAGAAGGGCCCTCTTCCCACTGTGACTTCCTCCCCTCCTCAGCCCCTCGCACTTGGACGTGGGCACAGGTGCCCATGGACCTGCACACACACCCCGGACCTAGAAGAAGCCAGTTGAGGAGAGCTTTCCTAGTGGCTTTCAGCCTGGGCTGCACACATAGTTCCCTGGGAGTGATAAAAATTCCCACTGCCTAGGCTGCACCGCAGACTGACCCACCCAGAATCTCTGGGGTGGAGCCAGGCTTCAGCACTTTCCAGCCAAGCTTGAGGATAAGAAAGAGCCTCCTAGCCTCATCCCTCTGCCCCTCCGTGCCCCCGCTGATGTTCTTGCCTCTTCCAAGGCTGGACTCTCTTCACACCCTGCACACCTGGTGCAACCAGAATTATCCTGCTCATCGGGACAAGGCCTGTTCCCTACCTGGCCTCCACCTGCCCCAGGCAGCAGAGATTCCAGAATCTTATCAATAAGGCAGGCCCCCCAGGTGAAGTCTAGGATCGCTTTTTCCATGGAGACCCATACTGGGTCCTCACCTTTCAGGTGGTGCTGAGGCAGAGCCCAGGGCTGAGCATCTCAGCCTGGTCTAGTCCCAGCATGAGATACACATTCAACCAGCTCGAACTTTAGCACTTACAGATTTCTTGAGGATCTGGCTAACATGAAGATTCTGAGCTGCAGGCCTGGGGTGAGGCCAGCGGTCCCGTATTTCCTGTAAGCACCAGGCGGTGCCAAAGCCAGTGGTGCAGGGCCCACATGCTGCATAGAAAATGCAAAGCTAGCCAGACGCAGTGGCTCACAACTATAATCCCAGCACTGTGGGAGGCTGAGGCAGGTGGATCACCTGACGTCAGGAGGTCGAGGCCAGCCTGGCCAACATGATGAAACACCATCTCTACTAAAAATAGCTGGGTGTGGTGGTGGGCACCTGTAATCCCAGCTACTCAGAAGGCTGAGGCAAAAGAATCGCTTAAACCTGACAGGCGGAGGCTGCAGTGAGCTGAGATTGCGCCCCTGCATCCCAGCCTGTGTGATGGAGTTAGACGATATCGAAAGAGAAAGAAAGAAAGAGAGAGAGGAAGGAAGGAAGGAAGAAAGGAGGGAAGAAGGGAGGGAAGGAGGGAGGGAGGGAGGGAAGGAGGAAGGAAGGAAATGTGAAGGTCTTTTGGGTCTTCTGTATGATAAGGTGTGTCGGGAGAGCTGCCCTTCCTCACCCAGAGCCCTCCACTGCAGCCCCATCCACTTCCTCCTCCTTGGGGAACCAGGACCAAAGCCACCTCACTACTGAGTCCCCTCAAAGGCCACTGCATCAGCTCAGCTCACAGGCCCTAGCTTGTCTCTTTCATCACACTCCTCCCCTGTACCAGGCCCACCCAGAAGTACCTACATCCCTCCACAGCTGGGCAGTGTCAGGGGATGACCTCCTGACCTTCCCCATCACACACCCAGGATCCCTGGTCCACTCCCTGGGAAGTCAGCCTACAGCCTAGCCCGTGACCCCCTATCTGACCAGTGATACCAGTTTGGTTTCCCGCTTGCCCATGGCTCATCTGTCTCTCCCTTTGAAAGCCCATCCTGAGAGCAGGAGGCAAGAGCTAGGAAGAGCCTGGCTGAGAAGTCAGCTCACCTGGGTTCATAGCCTGGCTGGGCCACCTACCCCAGCTCTGTGATTTTCAGGTGTCTTAACCTCTTTGAACTCGTTTCTTCATCTGTGAAATGAGGACAAGGATAGCCCTTACCTGTCAGGTGCATGTGCATGAGAAAGGACACCTGACTGCTTAGCACAGGCTCCAGCACTTAGCCGGTGTTGGCTGAAGGCCAGCCTTCACCAGTGGGAGTAATGTCGAGTACCAGCTCTGTCAGCTAGAAACTGTGTGACCTCTCAAAACCCCGGTTTCCTTATTTGTCCCTGTGCCTCACGGGCTTGTTGGGATGACTCGGCATGACAATTCCTAACAGAAAGCAGTAGGACAAGATGTGTTTAGCCTCCCCCATAGACAAGGGCTGAGTTTCCTGTGTCGTGTATCCTTCATAGCAACAGGTTTCAGAGTATGATCCTGGGACCCCAGGGGTCCCTGAGACCCTTCCAGGGGTGCTGAGGTCAAAACCATTTTCATAATGCTGTCAAGCCATTATTTGACTCTTTTGCTCATTTCCCGCAAGTATACAGTATATTCCAGAGGCCCAGGACAGGGGGTATCGCAACAGTATGCAGAAACTCATAGAAGAATCCAGCTGTCTCCTTGTAAGCCAGGCATGAATTGGCCTTTAAAAAATGCAAAGCACATGGTGGCTCATACTGGTTATACCAGCACTTTGGGAGGCCAAGGAGAGAGCATTGCTTGAGCCCAGGAGTTCGAGACCAGCCTGAGCAGCATAGTGAAACCTCTTTTATACAAAAAAAACTTTTTAAGTTAGCCAGGTGCGGTGGCACACAGCTGTGGTCCCAGCTCCTCAGGGGCTGAGGTGGGAGGATCACTTGAACCCAGGAGGTCGAGGCCACAGTGAGCTATGATTGTGCCACCAAACTCTAGCCTGGGCAACAGAGCAAGACCCTGTCTCAAACAATAATAATAATAATGCAAAGCAAAATCACCCTGAGAACCCAGCGATTTTGTTTTAGAAAATACTATTTTTCACAAAAATGCTATTTATATTAACATGTGATGAATTTATTGCTATGGAAGTGAATTAATAAGTATTTTTAATGTTCTCAGTTATAATTTATACTATGATAAAGATCAAAAGATATAACTCTTCTAAACAAAAGTCCCTTGGGATCCCGAGTAATTCTAAGAATGTAAAAGAATCCCGAGACCCACAACTTTGAGAAGACTACCCTACACAACGAGGACTGTGAGGGCTTGCCATAAACCTGTTCAAAGAAGCTGATCCAAGCCTCCCTCCAGCCACAGAGTGAGCTCAGCGGAGAGCTGGCGCCATATCATTGAGTCTTTTGGATCTCCCAGAGACCCCTGTGCTGTGCCAGGCATGCCTCAGTAGGTTCCACACCCAAGCTTTCTGAATTCCAAAGAATTCACCCAGGAGCCCCAGGCCTGGTGCACAAGTGAACCACACATCTGCCACTTGATGGGCACCAGCTCCAGTAGATGCTCCCTGACAACCCATGTCCCCCTGTCTCTGGCAGACCTCACCCCTTCCGGGACCAACCACTTCCCCGTTCTCAGTCCCCGTAGTTTCAGAAGGCCCCAGAGGCAGTCGCGTGACCCAGATCTGGATAGAGTGATTGGTTTCGAGGTAATCACACGAGGCAGCAGGATCCAGATCAGAGCCAGTGTGTGCGTGTCCCAGTTTCTTGCTGAGAACATTGGGAGAAAAGAGCCCTCCTCTCCTGGGGCTACTGAGCTGGTGGTATGGAAACCCAGAGCATCTGGGGGCACTGCCACTCGGAGAGAGCTTACCTGAGAGTCAAGCCAACTCAGAACCGAGTGATGGAGACCAATTCCTGATTCTACCGTTTAAGCCCTTAAATCCAGCTCTGCCTGGACTTCTCAGCCACTTGGGCCAATACACTTATTTCTTTCTTAAACAAGTTTGAGTTGAGTTTCTCTTCCAGCTAAAAGAGTCCGGATGAATAAACACATGAAATCAGAACCACAGTGTGGATGGTGGGGAAGCCGCTGGGAGGATTTGAGCTGTCCACCAGAGGCGTCGCTGAAGCCCACCTGGTTATCAGAAGAGGCCCCTTTTTGCTCACCAGAGACATGGCAGACCCCTGTCCAAACAACACAGATAGATAACAGCACGGATTTTTCTTTAACTTTATCATTTATAAAGCCATACAATGCATCGCAAAGAAACAAAGCAGCTGTACAGGAGTGGAGACGCGTCAGTGTACAATACATTCATGTCCAGGATAAGGAGCACACACCAGGATTTATACACGGTGCTGGCGGCTATAGGCACGATGATACAAAATATAAAGTATATTTCCATCTATATAAATACACAGCCGGGGTTGGGGAGGATGCCGGGTGATCTTGTTTCTCCCGCAGAGGGCCGGGGAGGCAGGGAGGGAGGTGGGAAGGAATTTCTGACATTTGTTCTGAATGGCGGGTCTGAAGGGAAGAGAGAAATTGGGAAGCATGGCCTGCACACACTGATGTGCTCACACACACACACACACACAGGATAGTTTGGAACGGCTTAACACCGATTGGAGAATAAGCTTGGGACATCCCTCTACAGTAACTCCTCTGCTGGCAAGAGCCCTGGCATGGGATATGAACAGAGGTCCTCCAACATTTTGGACATTTGAGGACAGAGGAGCCAAGAGGGACAGATCTGCCTGAGGCCCCTACCCTGCCCCTCTGGGTGGCCCGCTCCTCACCTGGACCAGCACTGAGACTCCACTGATGGGTGGCCCTACAGGCCCTGCCCCCGACTCCCCTCACTGCTGGGCGACATTGAACTTGAAGTTCCATTGCCCAGCACCTCCAACCCCCACCCCCAAGTTCCCTAAAGAGATGAGGGAAACACATGCACACACACACAACCACACCTGCACATCCACACACACACGTCCTGTGGTACCACTGGCCAAGGAAACACGAGTCTCAGGACTCCAGGGCCTGGACCTGGGGTAAAGGGCTGCTCTGGGACTCTGCCCCCCAACCTCTAGGAGGACGCTGAATGTGGGGGCGGGAGTGGGTGTCTCCCTTGGCTCACATGATCTCCCCAGGTCCTAAAGCCGGAAAAATTAGGGGGAGAAGATCCAGAAGGCAGGGGTGGTGGACAAAAGTGGGAGTGAGACTGGATCTGTTCACACTCGCCACCCTTCTGTGACCCCCCAGAGCCTCTGCACAGGCTCATCAGAACAAGGCAGAATCCCCTACTCACCAACCTCCTGAGAGCCCCCTCTAGGGAGATCACACTTGTCCAGGAGGGCTACCCCCTCCTGTTGTCACACGGCCACTGGCCCCACCAACCTTCTCCTGTCCAGTCTCAGAACACCCAGGGATCCTAAAAAAACCAGGGGAGAAGGAATCCTGGCCATCAGCATCCACAGCTTTCAGAGCTACTGGAGGAGAGGCTCAGATGAGATGGGTCAAAGGCCTTTCCCAAACTTAGGACTTGATGTATCTGTCCCTCAAATGCATGGCCAAATAAGAGAGCCAGGACACTGTGATAGCAGGCTGATCAAACCACTCATTTCCTCCTGGGTTTCCTTCTTAGGTCCCCTCTCCATTATTTGATCGTCCAATCCTTCCCTCTTGCTCTCCCTGGGTAAGAGTCACGTGGAGCTCACTGGACCCCTCCCCCAGCTGAATGGGACCCGACCCTCCCCTGCCCTCTTCCCTCAGACACCCAGCTGGAGAGTGAGTGGCAGCACAGGCCTGAGCCTGCCTGGGTCTGTATCCCGCGATGGCTGTGACTCCCGGCTCTTCCTTGCCCATCTTCTCCCAGACCCTTTCCCGTCCCAGCCCATGTTCCAGACCAGACAGCGCTCTCCTGGCTGACAAACAGATTCAACAATAAACAACAGTAAAATTGATCGAGGGAGGGAGAAGACAGAAGAGGATAAACACAAAATAATAATTACTAAAAGTGCTTTCTTTTAAAGGAAATCTTTGGCAAGAATATACTGCAGTGCGGAGTGGTATGTGTGCGTAGGTGTGTGCATGGGTGCACAGCCCCCTGTGACACAGGAGGGTTTTGGTGCAGGGCCCAGGAGTGGGGCCACTGTGGGGACTGGGGAACCCTTCCCCATCATTCACCTTGAAAGGCCACATTCTCGGAAACTGACTCCCACAGGGATGCTGGGAAGGAGTTTCCAGCTTTCCAGCATCAACGGGTCCTCCCCCAGGGGCACACACAGCTCAGGCTGCAGTGGAGGAGCTGGCCGCGCATGTGAGGTGGACTGCAGCGGGTGGTGAGGAAGGGGAAAGCGATGGTGAAAGCTGACCCCCAACTCAGTCCTGGGCCCCAGCCAGGCTGCTTGAAGGGTCTAATCCACCACCCAGCCTCAAGTGAGGACAGAACATCCGGTCCGGGAAGAAGCTGCCGGGCTGTCCCGTGGGAGATGAGACATTTACAAAGGAAAGGGATGGGAAATATCTCCTATCTTGGAAGGTAATTGGGGTTTGCTAAGGAATCAGGAGAGGGGGAACCCAGATATTTGGCTTAACTATCTCAGAAAGAAGAGTACTTTGGAGGGACCTCGGTCACCAGGCACAAGATTTCACTCTGGGAAGCAGGGGGTGGCCGGTGAGGCCTCTGCCCCTGCTCCCCGCCTTCTGCAGACACTCTCCTTTCCAACTCCCTGAAGCAGAACGTCCACACTGACACAGCTCCTTGGAGGAGAAAAAATACAAAAGGCGCACACACACCCCTGTGTGCCATACACACCCATGTCCCCACATGCTCACATACTCGCTCAGGCCTGCAAGACAGGGCAGCTCCCCACACATCCTGGGAGCTGACTGCTGGGCCCCTGGCTTGCTGAAAAGTAAGGAGGCCAAAGGGTGGAACAAGTGCACCCCTCACCCCCCGCAACACTGAGCCCCACACAGTCTAGGGAAGGCCAAGGCCAGGGCAAGGAGACCCTGGCTGCTCCAAGAACAAAGGCCCCTACACTTCAGGCTTCACTTATACATATAAAAAGGGGTGGGAATTGGTTCATGCCCGGGGAAGGTAATAAAGCAATATGGAAAAACAATAAATACTTCTTGTCAATTTACCTATTCTTTTTTTAACCTTTCCGTACATTTTATTAGCTTACAGATTCTGTCAGTATGTCTCATGTATATATTATATAATATTTATATATCAGTACAATGCCTCTCTCTAGGGGACCCCCCATAGGCTTAAGAATGGAGTCCCGGTGAATTTTCCATTCTGGCTTAGAGTCCTTAAATGGTGGTCAGGTGTTTTCCCAACTGTCCAGTGGACCTCAGGCCCTTTGGCCCAAATGTAAGCCTTCTGCTGCATGGGCAGCATGGCTCAGCTGGGGAAACCAAGGCAGAAAGGGGGACAGGACAGGAGGCTTTGGCATTGTAGTTAGGCCATGTGGTATACAGGTAGCAGTCGCAGGAGTTCTGCTGATGTCAGAGACTGCCTGCAAAAGCCAGACCCCGAAGCTCTTACAGGGGGAGGATAAGGACTGCAGGTTTCTGCCCTGAGCCTCACTGAGCAGGAAGCAGGTTCCCCAGGGTGAATTCCAACACAGGGACCCTGCAGAATAGAACAAGGCTGGGCAGAGCAGGAAGGCTCAATCCCCAGCCTCCAGAAAGGCATCATGCAGGTAAGCAGGTCTGAGATAAGGCTGGTCCTGGGGCATGAAACCCAAGAACAGGGCTGAGAGGTGGGCACTAAGGCAGAGTCCAAAGCCCCAGGAGGAACAACGTGCCTTCCTTGCTGCTGAGTCACACACCTCGGGGAAGACACCCCGAGCTCAACAGCCCACCTGTCCTGACAGATCTCTTCCCATGGACACACATATCTCCACATCCTCAAACCAAAGCTCCAGCCTTCCGGCCAAGGCAGGACAGGGCGATGACATTGCAGACCCTCCTACTCCTGCTGGGGTCTTTGTAGAGGAGAAGGGGATGGCGGCACCCAGGGTCACTAGAGTGTGGGTGCAGGCACCAGGAGAGAGCCCCTGTCTCCCATAGCTTGGTGGTTCATTCAGAGGAGGGTTTCTGTCCCTCCCCTGCTGCCCTGCCACTGCCAGCCCTAATCTTTGGACAGTATGCATGTGTCTACAAACACACAGGACATGGACAAGCCGGGCTGTTTATAATTCTAGTGGATAAAGGCAGATCTACATCAATGTTTACGGATGTGGGTGGGGACACACATACACCCACACGGCAATACAGCGGAGGCACGGCAAAGAGACCTGAGGTGCCTTGGGTCTGAGAAACTTTCAAGAGAATAAGTTCTGCCACTTGATGTCCCATGGTGGCTCTGTTTGGTGTCAAAACCTACCCTACAGGTGGCCAGAAAAAGATTTCCCCCAAGCCTGATATCTCCTTGGAAAGCACTGGGTTAGGGAGACAGAGCTTTTCCACTCCCCTAAAAATGTGGCTCCCCAAGGAGGTTCGTTCCTTCTCTTTTGAGGACATCCATCTTCTCGGGGGAGGGAGGGGGTGTTAGGCGGACCTGGTTAGTTTTGGAGGCTTTGGGTTTTTGCAGTTCCCATCCACCCAGGGGAATCCAAGTTCTTCTCCTCCATCTTTTCCTTTCTCTCTTTCTCTCTTTCTCTTCCCCCTCCCCTTTGCAATTCACTTCCCTCTCCCCACGTTGCACTTTCTTCTCTCCTCCGAAATTGGCCCAAAGTCCTCTTTCTGGGTTCAAGAGTGGTCAGGATTCATCGGTCCCCTCCCCAAGTGCCCCTTCCCCATGGCACTGGCCCTGGACAAGGGGCAGGGTTCATCTCTTTTGGCCAGCGTTCAGCATGACCTTGGAGACGAAGTTGACAATGGCAGAGGCAGGCTGGTTGGGGTCGAGCTCAGCAAAGAGGTGGCAGGCGTTGTCCGTGGTGCTGCCCTGCTTCCGGGCCACGAAGCCGAAGAGCCTGCAGGTGGGAGAGGGCAATGGCGTGAGGTGGGGGCAAGCGGAACCCCAGGAGATGGACAGCAGCCCAGGTGAGCAAGCTGGCCTCAGAGCAAACTCTCTCCCCCAACCCTCCAGAAGACCTCAGCATCAGGGACTTCGGGAGGCACAGAAGAGAATCCTCTGCACTCCCCTGACCACAAAGCCAAGGCCTGGAGACAATGTCCCGCCTTGCTTAAGGGTGGGCAGAAATCCCCCTTGGAGAGGTGCCAGGGGAGCTGTAGGGGATTGACAAGGCTGGATAGTGAGGGTGGGGAGCAGACCAAAATAAAATGGGAACATTCCTAGACGGGCCTGTCCCCGCCCATCCCAGCTCCACCCCTACTGACTGTTCTTACACACAACACATACGCCAATCAGGAAAGTGCAGTCTTCCTGCAAAGGGCTCGGCCTCCTCAGACACCACAAGGTCAGGGAGAGAAAGGACAAGCAGCTCACACCCCTCCACGCACACACTGATTCTTCCTGGGTTCAAGAGCCTTGGAAGCCAGAGAATAAAAAGGGAAGGTGGACCCCACACCCGTCCCCCACCTCCACCCACAGGACTGGAGTGACCCAGCATTCTCTCTTTGCAAAACAGAGTTAAAAATATGAGGGCAGAGAACAGAATGTGAGCTCAGGTCCCCTCCCAGCCCGCATGTTGCTATTTAGAGCGAGATGGGGAAATCAGGACAGCTGGAGATTCTGATAGAAACCCCTCTCCCTACAGCCGGACCAGGCAGCTAAAGTTAGCACAGGGGGATTCTACTGGTTGCTGTGTGTGCCTGTGTGTACACACCACCACACACACACACTATGACACATACTACCACACATACATACCACATAAACACCACCACACACACACTATCACACACATACTACCACACATACATACCACATACACAACACCACACACACCACACACATACCACCACACACACACACCATCACATACATACCACCACACACACAACCATATACACACCACACACCACCACACACAACACACATACCACCATACACACACACCACACAGACCACCACACACGTACCACCACACACACCACACACACACCACCACATACATATACACCACACACCACTGCACACACCACACATAACACCACACACACATAACACCACACACACCACCACATACATACACACCACACACCACTGCACACACCACACATAACACCACACACACACCACACATATACCACACACACACACACACACCCCATCACTCACACCACCACACACACCACCACACACATACACACCAAACACATACCACAACATGCACACACCACACATATACCACACACCACCACACGCATACACACCACATACCACCACACACACCACACACACACCACCACACACATACACCATCACACACACCACCGCATGCACACACCACACACATACACACCACACACCACCACACACCACTGCACACACCATACACCACAAACATACCACCACACACACGTACCACACACACAAGCCATGCATACATACATATACAGATCACACATATACACAACATATATACACCACACACATACAACATGCACACCGACACAACATACACACACACACACACACACACACACACACACACTCCTGCATTCCCTACAACTCTGCTTCCCCAGTCTTGTTTCAGGGGCCAGGAGCAACAGTGCCAAAGGTTGGAGTAATGCCCAGGTAGTGGGGGAGCTGGGCCCACAGGGCAGCCCCCAGCACCGCCCTTTCCCGGCTGGTTTGGACCCTTAGAAGGGGTGGGGGTGATCCCAGCAGAGGGAAGAAGCATGCCAGGCCTGGCTGCGGGTGTCCACCAGGATGGAGACCTGGCAATTGCGCCTGACTGGAACACCAAGCCTGCCCTCCCGATACTTCCTTCAGTTGTGGCTCTGAGGGTCCCATGATAGCCCAGTCCTGCCATCTGTCTCAAGGAGGAGATCCAGGCAAGAAGCCTCAGCTCCAAGGGCAGGGAGGAAGCACTTGCAAGATCCTGGGATCTAACATCTCCTTGAATGTTGCACCTGAGACCCCTGGCTGGCCTCACCTCGTCCCTGTCATGATTCCCTGTCAGCCCACTGCCCTGCCTCAGTCTCTCCCTGTGGCCTCTGCCCCACCCATCAAAGCCTCTTCAGCAGGAGGCTCAGCTCAAAACCAGCTCCTGAAGGAGGAAAAGAGGGATTTCCAGCTTGGGGGCCCAGCTCTCTTGTTTCTGACCCTCTCCCCTCTCAGGACCCTGTGGTGAGTGAGCACAAGCACCTTCAGACACAAAGTTCCCGCCTGCCGCCAAGGCCAGCAGAGACTCAGGGGACGCAGAGACTTGAAGCACTGATGACCCTATGAAGCCTGGACAAGGAGCCCCACCATCCCACATGGCCTCTCCTAAACCACTATCACCGACCCTGCAAGAGACTAGTCAGTCCATTCATTCAGACAGAGGCATCCGCACCAGCCTCCTCTTGCCTCTGTTCTTCCAGCCTCCATTCTCTCATTTCTTCACTCAACAAATATTTACCAGCCTCACAATGTGCCAGACATGGCCCTGCCCTTGGGGAGCCTGCAGTCTGGTAGCCATGAGGCCCCTACCCTGAAATACCCTCTCCTACTCCCATTCTCATTTTGGCCTGTCCAAATTGAAGACTCGTCCTTAAACATTTGCTCTTTCCACTCTCTAGATGCTGATGTGTCCTCCTGCATGAGCACCCCAGATGTGAGCTGAACTCTCTTGCCTCCTCTCCTCTTCCCTGAAACTGTCATTTTTTAACGGTGAACATTTTGTTTTTCTAAAGCAACCTTCATGAAGTCTGCATATGTCAAGGTGAAAGCAGTATTTTACAGCTATAAACGTATCAATCCAAAAGCGTGACATTTACCTATTATAAAGTCAATCAGTGAGGATAATAGGGCTGTTGAAATAAGCCTGACAAAGTGAACCATGGATGACAGACCATAGTGACAGTCTCATGTCAGCTTCAGATCCCGGGTTATGCCTGTATTTTGCTTTGCTTTTGTAATTGTGAGAAAACCCTAGTACCTACTTATAGACAACTGCAAGGAACAGCCAAGTTTTCCCTCCCTTCTGAACACCAGGTGGAATCCAAGGATGGCAGAATCCTTGAAACACAGTTCGAAAATCACAGAAGCATCTTAGTGCTGTTCAGACACTTGTCTTATCTGCTGTGCCAGTGGGTCTCCTGAGGTCAGGGTCAGAGACCCAGGCAGGAGCTGAGTTCCTTGGAGGCCCTTAGAACATGTCCACTGGATGGAGGAATCCACCCAAGGTCCCAGGGCCATCCCTAGAATTCAGACCTCCTGGGCTCCTGCACTCTGATAAGGCCATCTTGCTCAGCCACAAGACTCACAGAAGAGCCCACCAAAAAAGCGAGAACAGGAACAAACGCAGCCAGAATGTGGGCAGAAAAGATCATGTAAACAACCCCTGCCCCACTTCCATTGCTTCTAGTAAGACTCTGTTTTCTGTCCACTGCCTGGCATCCCTGCTGCTTCTGATCCTGGGTGAATGAAGGTGGCTAGACCAGAGGCTGGGCCTCTGGCCTCATGGCAGGACAAGGCAAAAGGCCTAGATGCCTGGTCAAGCTTCGCTTGAAAGCTGAGTGACCTTGGCACAAAGGTTTTTGCTGCCCTTTCCCTACCCACAGCTCTGGATTCTAAACCTGCCCCATGCTTCCCTCCCTGTGAAATAAAAAGGCCAGCCTGCTGGGTGGAGGTAAGAAGTCACACTTACTTAGCAGGGACACCACCCTCTGTTTTTGTCCACCTGTGGAGAGAAAGTAGGCTCAGGGTAAATCACTGTACTTTCTCCCTAGAGCCCAGCCCCACCCACGCCCCGACCCTCTGCAGGAAGTCAGGGAAGCCCCCATTCCCAGAGGACAGGAGCTGCCCAGAATCACACAGAGATATACTCAAGGTGGAAAGAACACCGCAGCCTGCCTCCACGTGCTCTTGCCATGGTGGAGAGGAGAGGCAGATTCAGGGTCAGGGCATAGCAGAGGGGGGTGACAGTGGGCACTGAGTGCCTGGGAAGGTCTCCATATCTATAGCGGGAAAGACTCAAAGGATGCCCAGCACAATTACTCACACATGGGTAGACCTTCCAGCTGAACAGAGAATGTACGGGCACACACATACACACACACGCGCGCACATATGTGCACACACACAGTCTCAGTGTTAGCTGTATGGGAGGGAAGCTGTATGCAAGAAACTTACTTTCTTTCTTGTGGATCCAGGTCACAGAAGGTGACCGTGTTGAGGGGGTAGTGGCGTCTGAAGAAGAGCCTGCAGCACAGACATCAGATAAAAGAGAATGAGTGCTGAAAGGGCTGCTTTTCCCCTTCTTCCACCAGCAGGTCAGGCCACCTTCCCACCATCTGTGGCTGTCGCAGGTCCATACAACCTCTCTCTTATGAGCAAGATGGCCTGAGCTGCTGACACTGGTGACCCAAACGATGGACAGAGACAGACGTGCCACAGAAGCATGCCGAATGCTAGGGGCTGGGGAAGGGAGAAACTGGCACTGAGGAATAAGAAATGTGGAGAGGGGCTGGAAAAGGAAGCAAAGAGACCAGAGACACTCCAAGGGGATGAGCTCTGCTCTAAGAAAGCAGGTTCTGTTGATCAGCTGTATTTACAGCTGTATACCCAGTGCTGGCAAATTCTCATAGAAGGGTGAATGAATGGGTGGATGGATAGATATAGATGGATGAAGGGATAAATAGGTGGCCAGGAAGAGATGAGGTATGAATAAATGCAGGGATGGATAGATAGATAGACAGATGGAAGGATTGATTGATGGATGCATGCATGGATGGATGGATGGATGGATGGATGGATGGATGGATGGATAGATGGATGGACGGATGGATAAGTAGCTGGGTATATGGGAGGTAGATGCAAGACAGACAGACGGGAGGACAGACGAGCAGCTGGATGCAAGGAATTAATCAGTTGGTAAATGCATGGGTACATGGATGAATAGATGGGTCACAGGAAGGAGAACCCCACCCAGGAGCAGGCAGAGGAGTCTTACTTTCTCTGGTTGTCAGTCAGAGTGATTCCCTGGGCAGAGACCTTGAAGTGAACGATGGTGGCAGCTGGCGTGGGGTCTGCAGCCAATGTCTCAGATGTGGCTTTGGAGATGGCCTGAGGCCCAGTAAGAGACTCCATGTCCACAGAGTTGACGAAGAGCACATTGCAGGCTAGAAGAAACCAACCCAAGGGGGAGTCACGGGAGATGGGGTGTGTGGAGACATTAACCCACATCCATTCTTCAGGGAGAAGGTAGCAGATAAATTCAGGCTAGCCTTGATCCAAGTTATCTGCACATAGAAATATGATCTTCCCAGAGATATCTGGGCCTGGAGAGACCTCCAGCCTGTACCTGCAGGAGGGGTAAGGGCAGGAAGGCAGAAATGAAGGCCTGGGCATGGGTCCAGTTTCAGGGAACCACTCACCTGCCCCTTGCTTCAGCAGGTCTGCAGTTGAGCTGGCAGGGCCAGAGCTATCTTTCGACTCATCTGTGGGGTCTGAGACAAAAATTCAGTTGGAATTAGAAGCACAAGTTTAGCTGGGCTGAAGGTGAGCTCTGCAACTATTGGTGCAAGGGACGCTGCTTTTCATACAAAGCGCTGGCAGTCAGCCCTGAGTTAGGCTCAGTCTGAACATTTGACGATTGCTCTAAGCAGCCAGCACACTGGTTGAGAGCTCTGGAGTCCAGCATCACTGGACTCAAACCCTCACCCCAGCACGTACTAAATATCTATAAAACAAAGACGATGATCATGGTACACATGTCACTGGATTTTTGAGAGATTCTGTGTACAGCTTAGCCAGTACTTAACATAAAGCAAGCCTTCAAGTGGTAACTGGTATTGCTGTTATTGTTTTCCATTGATATCTCTTTGTGTAGGTCAATAAATGCCCTAATTCCCTTAATCCATTAAACCACTGATCCAGCATAACTCTAATTTCAATATTGATAAGAACTGAATGATGGACATATTAGCTTGATTTAACCCACAATGTGTGCATTTATCAAAACATCGCATTGTACATGGTACATAATTTTTTTTTTTTTTGAGACAGGATCCCGCTCTGTCACCCAGGCTAGAGTAACAGTGGCGTGACCACAGCTCACTGCAGCCTCAAACTCCCCGTCTCTAGCAGATTCTCCCACATTAGTCTCCAGAGTAGCTAGGGCTACAGGCATGAACCATCATTTTTTTAAAGAAGAGTCATTTTTAAACTTTTTTGTAGAAACGGGATATCTGATGTCCAGGCTGGTCTTGAACTCCTCATTTTAATGAGCAGTCACTTCAAGACTCCTCTGAAGCAGTCCTTCCACCTCAGTCTGCCAAAGTTCTGAAATCGTAAGCGTGAGCCCCTATGCCCAACCAATATTTGCATGTTTAACAAGTTCCAGGGAGATGCTGATGCTGCTGATCTAGGCCCATACTTTGATAACTACAGGTTTATACAATCTAAATATTAAACCATTTTTCAATTGCTGAACAACTATGGTAAATTTCATAGGACTATAATTCAATTCATGTCTGAATTATGTCATTGGTTAATAGTGCTATTTAAGTTGTATTTGAACTTATAAGCTAATAATGTTAGTCAGTTATCATTAATAATTCAATGAACTGAATTGGATAAATAGAAAATGTCAAAAAATACTGGAGGTGTAATGTGTGGGCATAACCCCAGGAGCTCCAAGAAGGACTAGGAAAAATCCCAGGGTCACATCCTAGGGGCGCTTCTGAAGTTCCCATTGTTAAACAGAGAGAGTGGGGAGAAGGCAGCCCAGCTCGCAGTTCTGAGGCCTTGCACTGGGGGTGAGGCATAATGGCCCTCCGATGGGCCCCGTGTCGCTGAGGGCTGGCAGTAGAGGCCTATGCTGGGAGGAGTTCTAGGTGCCCACCTGCCGTACTCCAGGGCTGGCGCACTTCCATGAGAGAAGTGAAACACCCCTTCCCCAGCCCTACCATCTCACTCAAATTCTCACCCTGCACGTCCTCATGCTCTTGGAGTCCATTCCAACTTCCCACAATCAGAAGAGGACTTGCCTTTCCCTAACAGCTCAGCGTCCCCTCGGTCAGGGAACACCCTCCCAGCACACAGATTAGAAACTCCAGTGCCATCTAGGCGCTGTCTTCCCTTTCCTGAGGCTGCTCTCTCCTTTCCATCCAGAACAACCCCCAACACCTCAGCCCACCTCCCCGCTTTCTTCTCCGGATGCCCATTTCACCCTCCAGGACACGTCTCCTGTCCCCTATTTCTCCTGTCTCCTGTCATCCCTGGGATGACACGCGGTCTGAGGATTCTGTATGAATTTCTTAAAGCCTCCAGAGGATTTTCCTGGATAATCTGGCATGTCCATTTATGTGTGTTCCTGGAGTTAAGCTTTTTCAAATTTTTTTTCTTTTTTAATAGGGAAAAAAGGAGAGTAGTTTTGAGTTTCTCCAGATTGGCAAAATGACATGTGTCCTCCAGGCCTGGCTCGTATCTGGAATGGCTGGCAGCATCAAGACATGATGGGGGCCAGCTTAAGGGTGTGGGTGGTGAGCCAGGAGTCTCACGTTCCTACCTCGGTTTGGAATGACCAGCTTGCAAGGCAGGGCCAATGGGATGATGGAGTGCTGGTAGACCAGGGCAGACAGAGATCCTGTGGGGAGGGAGACGGCATGTCAGGGGCAGCCATAGGGATATCCTCCACTCCCGCCCTTACCCCATACATACAATCTTCTACTTCTTTGTTACCTCTGCTTCAACCACCAACAAAACTGGAAAGTCACCCCCTCTTGTTTCACAAGATCCAATAGAGAAGATTCCCAAGGCTCACTCCAGCAGTCCTAAAGTTACCTAACAAGTTTCCTTTCCAGAAAGTTCCTCCTAACATCGCTCTTAACTTGCCCCAGTTCCTGGGGCTCCTCTAAGAACAGGGCAGAAGGATCGGAGAACTGTGAGATCCAATCCCAGCTCAGTCACTTCTCACCTGCGGGTTCTCAGGTAAGTGTAACTTGGATGACCCTCATTTCCTCATGTGTAAAATAGGGAGGATAACCCTGACCAAACATGAAGGTTGTCAGGCCAGATGTGATAAAAGGTGCTTAGGCAGTGACATTCACATGGTAGGTGGTTAATTAAGGCAACAGATGTTCGCATTGTTACTCCAGTTATAATGATAGCGAGAGTTCCAGCTGGGTAGGACAAATACAGAACGCAGTTTGGCAGAGTTTGGAGCCACACTGCAGGGGGAGAGAAGCCCCCATTCATTTTCTCTGCTGAATTTATGACAAGGGCAACTGGCAGAGCCTGTGAGAAAGAACTTGGGGTCAGACCCCTGGAGGAACCCAGGACAGGGCCAAGACTCAGGACAGACTGTAGAGACGGGGGCAGGGGGACGGCTCACCGAAATTTGGCTCGTTGGGGCAGCCCTTGAGCTTGACTCCTCTGGGGCCGGTCTCTATCAGAAAATGCCTGACCAGCTCATGGGTCATGTCTCCTGGGACAAAGAGAAAGAAATGAGGCTCAGTCCCTTCCCATGGCTTCCTCCCACCACCTCCCAAGACTGCTCTGAAACCTCTGCAGCGTGTGGGGCCAGGATTTGAGAAATGGCCGAAGACGGAACCTGGCTGGAGCCCACAGACTGCAGAGCCCACTGCTGCTCTCCCGCCCCTCGGGAAGCACACGGCAGGCGCCCAAACGTCCTGCTTTCCCATCTCTGGCCCAACCATCGCCAAGCCCAAGACTCGCTCTTCTGAAGAGTCTGATGGGGGTTAGGGTCCTGCGCAACATCCTGGGTCCCTTTTAGTGACTCTAAAGGTCACCTGGTCCTGGGCCCCATTCTGGGAGACGAGGTTACCTTTTTTATTCTGCTGCATGATGGTTGGAGGCGGCGAAGACACCTTCATGGCCAGCCCATAGGCGCCTCGGAAGGAGTGACTGTCACGGATGATGAAGGCCCCTGGCTCCTGGTCCTTGAGGAGCGCGATGGCTGCATGGGGAAGGGACGAGGAGAGAGGAGGAAGCGAGACACTGGTGGCATTAGTTTTACTTAAGTCGCATTGGGCCTATCAACCTTCATTCTTTCTTAGGTGAGATGACATTCTTTAAAGTTAGAACTTAACTATTCTTAAGGGTCTTCCGGTACTCAGGTTGGCAAACTCATTCTGTTGGTTTTTTGGTTTGTTTTTGTGAGACCAGGCCTCATTCTGTCACTCAAGCTGGCATGCAACAGCACAATCAAGGCTCACTGCAGCTTCGACCTCCTGGCTCAAGTAATCCTCCCACCTCAGCTTCTCAAGTAGCTGGGACCACAGGCCACTGTTCAGCATGCACCATCAGGCCGGGATAATTATTTTCTTTTTGTTTTTTGTCAGGATCTCACTATGTTGCCCTGGCTGGTCTTGAACTCCTGGCCCCAAGTGATCCCCCTGCCTTGGCCTTCCGAAGATCTGGGATTACAGGTGTGCGCCACGACACCCAGCTGGCAAACACACTCTGTAAATGGCCAGAGAGTAAATATTTCAGGCTTTGCAGGCCATGCAGCCTCTGCTGCAGCCACTCCACTCTGCCACTGCAGCAGGATGGCAGCACAGACAGGATGAAAGCCAGCAGGTGTGGGTGCGTCCCAACAAAGCTTCATTTACAAAAGCAGGCAGCATCCAGATCTGACCCAGGGGCTGTCGCTGCCGACCCTGTCCCACACCCACACACACTTCCCCTGAGAATCGTTCCCACATTCCCAACTTTATTCTCTCTCTGTAAAATGCAAAAACCTCCCACATGAGGCAGACAGAGAGCAAAGGTTTCATATTATCTTGGCAGACCTTAAGAATCCTTCCAAGAGGTGTCTACATCCACTGCTTCTGCGGTCCCACACTTCACTGGGGGAAGTGCTTCCTATTGTCCAACTTCAACCCCAGCCCCCTCTGTGATGACCCCCTACTACAAAGAGGAGTGAATTTGCCTCTGTTCCTTGCCCCAGGAAGACATAGCAGGCCTCAGCCAGCTACGCCCTCTGATGGACACAGAGCCCCGCACTCACCCTGCTCCCTGGAGATCTCAGGTTTGTACCAATATTTAGAAGTGTCCTGGACAAACTTCACTTTAGCCCGTGTCTCCGGGCTGTTGTCTAAAGCAGGAGAAGAATGCAGAGTGTTACGGGTTACATTGTGTTCGCCCAAAATACGCATCAAAGTCCTGACACCCAGTGCCTGTGAATTCTACCTTATTTAGAATTAGGGTCTTTACAGATGTAGACAAATTAAGATGAGATCATGTAGGATTGGGGTGGGCCTTAATCCAGGATGCCTGCATGCCTGGTGTCCTTACAAGGAGAGGAGACAGAGAGACCCACAGGGGAGAGCACCATGGAAGGAGCAGGCAGAGACTGGGGTGACATATCTACAAGCCAAGCGACACCAACGATGCCAGCAGACACAAGAAACTGGGAGAGAGGCCTGGGAAAGATACTCCCCAGAGACTCAGGACAGAGCCAACCTCGCCAACACCTTGATTCTGGACTTCTAGCCTCCAGAACTGTGAGAGAACACATTCTGTCATTTTTAAGCCATGAAGCACATGGTCCTTTGTTATGGCAGCCCCAGGAAACTGACATCAAAAGCTGATGTCCTCAAACACCATGAGAGCACAGTGAAAGGAACCTTCGACTTCCTCATCCATCCCCATCCCCTGCCGGCCATCTGGGTGGCTGAGCTGCCTCCTAGGGGAGAGGCTGGCACTGCATTCTCACAGAGCCTACCAAAACCTTCCTCTACCCTGTGTCCCTCTTTCCCTAGAAGACTGTGACTAAACCCTTCCCACAGCTTCTCTCTCCCATGGGCTAAAACACTTGCTTCTAGAACCTTTCGCCATAGGCTCAGTTTCTCGACTTCAGCATACGCACCATGAAGACGAGGACGGAAAGATCCATTTCTGCCCCTTTTCCCCAGGTCCCTCCTCACTTCCCACAGGGAAAGCCTGTGTTCTGCATCGCACAGGTCAAACAATCACTTCTCCTTGGATCCAACAGGTGATGGCGGGCCTAGAATCTAAAGGCCATCTATGCATGTCAGGCACCCCACTCCTCAGGCAGCAGCACCCACACACACACCCCTGCCCAGACTCTTTGCAGACCTTGGGAACTGGTCATAGAACATTCGATTCTGGAGGGAGCTGAGACAGGACAGAATCCAACTGCCTAATTTTACAAATAAGGAGAAATTCAGAGATGAGAAGTGACTTTCCCAAGTCACATAGATGGTGACCTTGGGAAGAGGCCCCAGCAACCAGTTTAGCGCCAGCTAAACCGTATCTTCCTGTCTAAGCATCAGGAAGTGCGGTCCTCACTCTCAACCTCTTCCTTCAGCTTTCGGCATCAAAGAAAACAAAACAAAACAAATTGTAGGGGAAGGAATAGGAAAAGATGAGGGGATTCCACATTTTTCCTCTCCTGCCTTCAGAGACAGAAGTCGGCACTAAAGATGCTATCAAGTAGGAGAGCAGATCCGGAGACACAGGTTGTGTCTCCAGTGCTTAGTCAATTTCAACCTATGATTGACACTCCCTTATGCTTCTGGGATCTGTCTCTGGGCGAGCGTGAGGGGAGAGGTCAGCTCCCTTTCCGGGCAGCTGTGTGCTGAAGAAGTTCTCTGGGTTAGGCAGCTGGGCCGTGCAACTGCTGCAAGCTTGCCGTTCTCTGTCCGAAGCCCCAGGCCCCACTGCTGCCGTGGCCTGTTTAATGAGCTGTCAGAGGCGGCTGCAGTCCCATGTGCCTTCCTGTGTTGACTCCAAAGGCTATTTTAAGCAGGGAAGATGGTGGGAAACAGGAAGCGTCCCAGCTACTAGCAGTTTTGCATCCTTCAAGGAGAGGGGCTGGGAACCAGATGTCCCTGGTGGGTGGCAGGAAACAGGGGGTGCAGGGTCATTATAGGTGTCCCGGCTTGGCAGGCTCAGGGCAGGGCCTGAGAGTGATACAGGGAGAATCTGGACAGCTGGGGCCCAAAACATTCTAAATCTCCCTCAAATGTCAAGGCCCCAGGGCCACTGCGCACACAGTCAAGTTTGAGCTTGGTCTTTGTGTTTAGACAACGAGCTCTCTAAGTGGAGGCAAAGGTGGCAAGTTCTGACGATGGGCAAAGAATTCACTGCGCAAACCTGCATGAGCTTCAGTAGAGCTGTGGGTCTATTAGGAGTGATGTGGCACCATGGGGCTGACAAAGGTGTGGGGTTCCAGGTTTGGAAGGCAGGTTTTCAAGATCATGCTAAATAACAATGAGCCCCAAGATATGGACACATGATAAAGACAACTCCAGTGACACTTGAAGAGCATTTGTTTGGGGTGGCGTGGCCTGGATTGGAAACCTGGCTCTGCCATTTCTTGACTGAATGATACTAGACAAGTGACAGAGCCTCTAAGCCTCAGTTTGTAAACTGGGGTTAATAATATTAATACCTACTTGACCAAGTGGCAAAGAAGCTTAAATGAGATACTACTTAGCTCAGAGCCTGGCACACAGTATGTGCTCAACAAGTGGTAATGGCTATGAGGGTGATGACAATCATATCAGTAATACTATTCATCTTTATTATTTTTATCATCCTCATCTGTATTTGCATCCTTATCTCAGCATCCACAACCACAGCACACTTACTGTGAGGACACCGCCACCTCTCCTTACACAGGTAAAGAAACTAAGTCCCAGAAGTCAGTGATTCACCCCGGGTCGTCTGCCAAGGAAATGTCAGAACAGAGACTGGGGTAGATAGCTTCATCCTTGTACTTACTTCATCAGTGGGAGGGTGGAAATGGAAGGAGGAGAGGCCCACCTGGCATGGAGTACTTGGAGAAGTCGGGCAGAGTGTGGGAGAAGGAGACGGTGCTGCCCCCGCTGGGACTGGACATGCCGCTGGCGACAGGCGAAGACATCTTCCCGTTGATGGTGGCATAGTTAGGGAGGCTGCCTGCCCGGTCTCCCACCGACATCCTTCGCTTCTCTGGCAAGGCTGGCGTTGGGCTCCCTTGCCTGAAGGCTGCTGAGTCCGGTGAGGGGGAGGTGGTGGGACTGCTCAGGCCAGGGTAGTAGGCAGGGGAGACAGGGAAGGAGGGCGTGGAAGGAGCCTGATAGCCAGAGGCACTGCTCTGCCGGGACAGTGTGGGTCTTCGGTCCTCGGGGATGGAGTAGCCACCATAGGCCACATGCCGGTCCAAGCAGGGGCTGCCGGGAACCACAGATCCAGACCCCAGGTGCCGGCCCAGGCTAGGGCTTCCAGGGCTGGCTATCGCATTGCCATGGAGACTGGAGGCCAGATTGCCTTGGTGAGCCCCAGGGTGCCGGCCCAGGCTGGGACTCCCTGGGGTGGTGGCCACATTGTTGTGGAGGCCAGAAACCTGGTGGGCCCCAGCTGGGTGCCGACCCAGGCTGGGGCTCCCTGGGGTGGTCGCGGCACTGCTCTGGGGGCTGGAGACCGTGCTACCTTGGAAGCCAGTACCTGGTGGACCCATCACCTGGCGATGGCTCAAACTGGGACTGCTGGGGGCAGCCATGCTGGGGTTGATGGCCCGGCGGCCGAAGCCAGGACTGGGGGGAGTGTTGGTGCCCACTGTTCTGTGGCGCGCCTGAGGGCTCCCAGGCACTGTGTGGACACCAGCCACACTGAACTGAGCTGGGGCCTGGCTTTCCGGAGAGGAGCTGAATTGCTGCAGCGAGTAGTCGGGGCTGCTGTAGCTGCTGCCCACAGTCGGGAGGGGAGATCTCTGGTAGTTTCTCTGGGCGGATGGGCTGGGCTGTCCCAGACTGCCGGAGCGGAAGCCAGACTCCAACAAAGGCTGGGTGGGTGTCCAGGGACCCTGGTCGCTGCCCTCTCCTGATGGGAAGCTCCCCACGGAAGTACTGTAGAGAGATGGCAGGTTGAGATGCCAAGAGACGGCACTGAATGAAGGGTGGATTTACTGCAAGCTCTCAGCCCTCCCTCCAACCACAAACGACAGGGAGAATGGCTCCACCGGCAGTACAGTGGGACATCAGGGCTCTATATGTTACCTTACAGAAACATCAGAAGAAACTGAGGCTCAGGGAGGTTAAGCAGCAGGCTTCGGACCACACTGCCTATCAAAGACCAAGATTTCAACTTATCTGCCTCTGATTCCAAAGCCTACCGCTTCCCTACTGCACCATGCTCACTCCTGAGCCACGTCGAAGTGAAGAGACCTCTCCTGTGGAAACTGGAGGTGGCTGCCATGTGGTAGCCTCCAGCATCACAGAAGTTCCCACTGGAGGCCGGGCACAGTGGTCATGCCTGTAATCTTTGGGAGGCCAAGGCAGGAGGATCACCTGAGGTCAGGAGTTCAAAACCAGCCTGACCAACATGGTGAACTCCTGTCTCTGCTAAAAATACAAAAATTAACCAGGCATGGTGGCACACACCTGTAATCCCAGCTACTTGGGAGGCTGAGGCAGGAGAATTGCTTGATCCCGGAAGGCGGAGATTGCAGTGAGCTGAGATCACACCACTGTACTTCAGCCTGGGCAACAAAGCGAGACTCTGTCTCAAAAAAGAAAAACCAAAAAACAGAAATTCCCACTGGAGTTTCCTGGCTCCTATTCCTACCAGGGGTAGCCCTGCCTTGACTCAGTTTCCTCAAGTGTGATATTATCATCCTTGAACGTTGGCTGAGAGTGCTAGAATTGGGCTTTCACTCCTGGGTGTCTCCACAAAAGCAAAGGAATCACAAGGTGGGGGATTCACATCAGGGGATTTCAGTTCATTGTAAGGTCTGTTCTCCAGCCACTGTGGATGTGGCCAGCAATGGAGAAAGCTGCCTTGCATGGTAATGAGGCTCCTGTCATTAGGAGCATTTAAGCAGAGGCTGACAGACCTATGGGCCTAAATGTTGTCGAGGGAATTTCCTGCACTGGGAAGTTAGATGAGATGAGCTCAGAGGTCACTCCCAATTCCGACTCCGAAAAAATTCAGTTCAGAGGACTATCCCTGGGGTAATTGCCACAATCAAAGCTTCCCTTGTAAAATCAGTCCGGGTCCACATGGAGTGACCTATGAGAACACAGCAATACAATGTGATGGACGGACAGTGGGTTGGAAAATCCAGATTTTGCTTGTTAAAGTTTTTCCATGTGGAACATGAGGGGGCTGGATTAGGTGATCCTGACTCCATCTAGATCCAATCCATCTATAGCAAGAGAAACAAAGGTTGACAGGGACCTTGCATAAACCAGTAGCTATAGGGATGTGGCAGTCAGGCTGTGCACCAGGAGCCCCCATAGGGAGGGGTCCTTACTTAGCCAATGAGCCAAAACCTGGAGCTGTGGGCTGGAAGGACCTTATGGCAGGCCGACCCCCACTGGGCCAGGTTGGATAAGCTCAGGTTCACTTGGTGACATGAGCTTTTGGTTGGGGGTATGCTCTCGGGCCAGGCAAGAGCCAAAGGCAAGGAGAAGGTCAGGGGCCAGGCTAGGACAAAGTCTACCTTGCATCCCAGAAGGAGGCAGAGCGGAGGGCCACCTCCTGGCATAATCCAGAATAAACCAGATTCTGAAGAGTGGGAGCCAGAGCCAGTCTGAGGAGGGCGGGAGAAGGAGACAGTAAAATGGAGTTCTGGAAGGTTAATCCTGGAGGAGAAACACCAGCTTCCTGGAAGGGGCCAACGCCTCAGCAGGAGGGATTTGAGTGAGAAACAGTGAACAACTTCCTAATGCCAGAGCTCACTGAGCATCAACAATGGGTGGCTGGGGCAACTTAGGAACATCCCCTTTCCTGTAACATGGGAAATGCAACCCTCTGCCAGAGTCAGGCCTCCTAGCAATGCAGCCTACTGCCCTGCTGACAGGCTGGGGGCTAGAATCCACAAGACAGCTGCCTCTGCTCATCTGCTCCCCCAGTCCTCCCATGGTACCCCGACTTGCAGGGGAGGCTTAGCACTGAGCCAATATAGGCTGTGCCACAACCTGGCCCCACCGGGCCTGGGGCAATGCCAGGGGAATTTGCAGGCCCTGTGTCATCCCAGACTAGGGAGAGCAGTGGACACGGCACAGAAGGGATGAACAGGCAGAGTCTCCCCTCCTGGGGGCTACGTAGGCTAGCTGGGTCTTCCCCCTTCGCCTGGCTCCTTTCCTATGCTGTCATCCCATCCCCTGCACCTTCACTCCCACTACCCCAGTCCAGCAGCTGCTTGCTGCACCCCTCCACTGGGCCTGTGAGCAGTGAAGCAGGGACTGTCCACCCACTCTGCCCACTTCTGGGCTTTCATCTCTGTATGATGCACTCAGATATATGGATGCCAGCCATCCATCCATTGCGGCCTCCTAATAGCAGGTGACAAGCCCTCAGCCACACACTCCTAACACAGCCACAGTCCAGTCCTCTGTCCTGCTGAGCTGTCTTTCTGGAATGCCCTCTCTCTCCTTCTTCATCTTTCAACATCCTGCTAGCTCCTCTGAACCCTCTACAAATGCCTCCAGCCCTCAGAAATCCTCCCTGCACCCCTAGCCAGAAAGAATGGCCCCTTGTTCTGAGCTCCAAGCCCTTTACTCCTGTGTGGGCTTCAGGCCCATCTGACTCTCATCCTGTGCGGGATGGCACCTTGACGCAGGTCTGGGGTAGAGGAGAGAGACATGGGCTCTGGGACCACAGGCTTCCTCCTGAATCTGATTCTGCCACTGCTCAGCCATGGGACCTCAAGCAAGCTACTGCACCTTTATGCCTCAGTTTCCTCTTCTGAAAAGTGGGAACGATAATAGTGCCCACCTCCTATGATTGCTGTGAGGATTAAATAACTGTATAAAGCACTTAGCAAAGTGCTTGGTACCTAGGATGAGCCCACTGCATAAGTCATTTACTGTTGGTAGATTTTCAACTGGGGGAAGGGCTTTGCCGCATTAACTGTGGTAACCCTCACTCCTTCCGGCAGTTTTGGTTGGGCGGAATTGAATGCCACCTGGGAATTACAGGTAACTGCCCCCTCAGGTAAGGACTCCCCACAGGATTCAGCACTCAGGACATGTGCCCTCAATGCACCTTGATGAAGTGGTTTGCAAGATGCCACCATCTGGGTGTGATTTCTGCCTGTCCACGCCATAGGCAACAGATCCAGGAGGCTTCACCCATCCCATCCCAGTCCCAGGCCTGGATTCTCATCCCCCACCCACTGCCCCTTCCCGGCTTACCTGTCAGCACTGAGGATGGGGCTGCTGGTGGAGAGGGGGCTGGGGGACACAAAGGAGCCAGCTAGGGTCCCATTCCTCAGGGGTGTCTCATGGCCATAGGCCTGGGTGGCTGGGGTGCTAAAGCTCTTAGGCTCAGAGTCCTGAGCTCGGGGCCCAGCCACAGCCGTCCGCGCCACAGATTCGACATAGCTCCGGGGCTCTGGAAGGGACAAGGGGACAGAGACTCTGAGCACAGATCCACAGGGGTCCCACCCAACCTGCCCTGGATGAAACCCAGCCTCCCGGACCCCAGCCTGGGAACACAGGAATAGCCCCCAAAAGAGACCAAGGGCTCCTGCCTGCCCTGACCCACCTGCCCTGCAGCTAACTTTCACCAGGGCCTTGCTCAGAAGAGGGGACCCTGAAATGGACCCCAGGCCCCACCTCAGAACATGGCCATCAGGGACTCTTCCCTTCAAGGACTAGGAGTCTGTCCACAGCTGGCAACCCCCTCTGGCTGCTCTCTTTCTTCGATGATCTTGCCACTCAGCATTCAGGCCCTTCTAGGTTCTCCTGGTGCCACTAGAGTCTGGGGCCCTACAGCAAGCCCAGAAGTCTATCCCCACCTTGCCTGTATCCCAGGACAGCGCTAGAGTTCATGTGAGCTCTATCCCATGCCCAGAATCCAGAAACAGCCTTAGCCACCTAGCAACAGGCCTGCACTGGTGAGTCATGCCCTGCAGGGCTGCTGTGGACTCACCAGCCCCTTTGATGCCAAGACACACCCACCCCTCTCTGCCTGACACACTCAGCATTCCTCCAGAGACTGGCGTCAGGGAATCCCATTCCCAGGCGGAACTCAGCATTCCATCACCCACCTCTGGCATTCCTGTAGCACCGAGCAGTTTACAGAGGATCTCAATATACATGGCCCTACCTGGTGTTCCAAATAGCCTAAGAGGAGGGGGTGGGGGACAAGTGCTAGAAAAGACCATTTTACAGATGAAGATGCTGAGGCCCAGCAAGGGAAATGACAAGGTCACAGACGGCCCCACTCGACTCCCGGTCCAGCACCTGCCCGACTCCTCCATGGCCTCTGAGGCCAGCCTCTAAACACACTCCACTTGAAACAGGAAGAACCAGCAGAACGCTATTGTTTACTAAGTTACCCAGGCCACATTCGGGGAGGGATGTCATTCCCACCACCTCCAAACCTGGCCCTGTCCCTTTCTTACCCAGGAGGAACCTGGCCTGACTAAGTTCCATACTGCCCACGACTAAGGAATCCACTGAAATCGGCATGAGAAACTGAAGAACCAGAGTCTGTGCAGCCCTGAGGAGGCCAGGACCCTGCAGCCCCTGCTGGCCAAGACTGTGATGCTCCGAGCTGGAGAAAAGCCCCCTCCTCCAGGTCCCTCATGGGTGACAGGCCCAGGGTCCAGCTGGCTAACATGCAAACTTCCTCCCTTAAGCCCAAAGAAAACCAGGGTGCTAGCAGGGTGTTTCCAGCGCTTGCTGCATAGGGGCACAGCCTCCAGGGAGTGGCTCCTGGGGTGGCTGGCCCTCAGGTCTCACATCCTACACCCAGGCCAGAGGCCTCTCTGGACACCGGAAGAGGATGGTCACTCGCTCAGCACAGGACCCTTTACAGAGCAGGTCCCAGAGGCTGTAACGGGGTCTGCAAACACCTCCAGCCACAGCCTGCCCGCCTGTCTTTTGCCCCCACACAGAGGTCCCTCCACCCGACAGCAATGACAGTGAACAAGGCTGAGGCAGTTTGTCTGCAAAGAGGCGGGCACAGGTGGTCTATTCCAGGTACCAGGCACAGGGTGATGTAGAACCAGCCACCTAGGCACCCAAAGCTGGAATCCATGCAGGCAGTACCAGCAAGGCCTCCTCGAAAGCCTTCCTCAATCATCCCAGGCCACCCAACCACCTCCCAGAAGGGCCAGGCCAAATTCACACCAGAAGCATGGATCCTGCACCACCCAAGTATGAGGCTCTGCTGGAACCAGAAGCCAATGCGGAGATCCCCTGACCAGGGCCAGCACACATTTTTGTAAAGACTCAATAGTAAATATCTTAAGCTGGTGGGTCAGGCTGCTACTGTTGCAACTACACACCTCTGCTGTGGTGGGGTGAAAGCTTGCATAGACAATAGGACGGTGAATGGGCATGGCTGGGTTGCAATCAAACTTTCTTTACCAAAATAGTCAGTGGGCGGGATCTGACCAGCTGCCACAGTGTGCTGATCCCTGATCTAACCTGTCTTCTCAGCCCAGAGAGATGGAGCCGTGTGCCCAGGACACATGGATGCTTAGTGGCAGTGAACACTAGCACCAGTGTCTGGACTCACAAGCTGGCTCTGCGTGGCCTAGACAGAGCCCATAGGCCCACAGGACACCCAGAGCTGGCTCTATCCAGCACTCCAGCCCATCAGCCAGAGAAGAGCCAACTCCATGGGGCTATTCCTAATGATCAAAAGAGCAAACAATTATACAGGAAAAGTAGGACTGAGGAGATGTAAGTACCTTGCCCAGGTCACAGCTAGCAAGGGGCAGTCGGCCTAGGAACCCAGGCAGTCTAGCCCCGATCTGCCCTTACCCACTGCAAATGCAACCCTCTGTAAGTCAGGGAGCCACTAGTTTCAGTGAGTGTTTTTAGTCTTGGGAAACTGGTAACCCAGCTTAGGAGAAGGGACCCTCAGAGGGAGCCTCATCCACAGCCATGCAAATGACACCCAAGAGTGAACCAGAGTCCACTCTCCCCTCCAGTCCCTTGCTGCCCTAGGTCACTCTCTGAAAACTCTTCCCGGATCCTTCCAGGCACTCACTGTGGCTTCACCCGGGTCCCCATGGTTCTCCGCACCCCTTCTCTCCCACTCAGGGAGAGAAAGCCACTCTTTGGTTGTCCGTGGGCTCCCAGAGCCTGCCTAGCTTATCTGTGTGCTGAGTCCTCCAACAGCACCTGGTACACAGCAGACCTTGATCTGCATGTGCCCCACAAAGTCACAGAAGCATGATCCTTACCGTCCAGTCCCATCCAGAGACACACAGTCAGACCCCAGAGGCACACATTCATTTTTCTCATTCCCTGAAGTTCAAGTTGAAACCTACATGAATGACACTGTGAAGGTCTGTGTTCTCCAATCCACTGACATCACTCCTGATTACTCTCTACCCTGATCTGCGTTGCTGGGCTGGCTTTTATTTACTATGTCATCCAAACCCCTTTACTCTCTGGCTCAGGATGGGTTTGGCCTTCGGAGGGTCTGGTAGTGAATGAGAGGGAGGGAGAGAGAAGGACAAGGTGCCAGTGGCTGTTTCCCCTACCCACCTCCCTCTAGCCACATTCCGGTCAGCAGCCCTGCCCTCCAGCTCCTTCCCAGTTCCTTAAGGCCCGGGAAGGTGGCTCCTTGCTCCTGCTAGGGAGAACTCTGGGTGCTTTCCCATCCCTCATGGGTCTGCCCAGACCATTTAAGTGTCCATCAGCTGTCCTAGGTTGCTCCGTGGAATGAACCATCAGTTTCCCACGAGGCTCCTAACCCGCATATTGGGTAAGCAATTCACATTGCCCTACACCCCACCCCTTTAAAGAAGTACAGGTACCCCTTCTAGCAACAGTAAAACTGAGATAAAGTGGGCCACACCACCCTGTCCTATAGTCAGGACACAGCCAAGCCTGGAACCCATGGCTTACTTGCCATTACACAAGGCTGGGTGTCTACTAACTGCTTCTGGCCTAAATGTGGCACCTGAGCCGCAGCCTGAGAGCCTGAGGGTAAGGCTGCATGTAGGGCCCATGGGACAGTATATCAGAAACCCTGAGATGGCTCAATAGGATGGCTAGCTTCTTAAGGCAACAGTCCCATTGGCTCTTTCAGCTCCTAAACTGCAGAATCCCAGAGGAGTTCTCAAGAGACTAGGAGTCTGAACTTGGGGAACAGGAAAGCTGGTCCAGGGAGAAGCAGCAGCATCCACTCCCACCACAGTGTCGGAAACAGCCCTTGTGCGTTGGGTGGCCAACCTAGCCCAGGTCACTGAGACCCAGTCCCACCTGGCCCTGCCCTCACCGAGCCCCCACCTGCCTTTCTCCTTCCCAGCACATCCTCTTCCTTGGTCAGCTGGTCTGCCCTCCGACTGCCACCCCAACCTGCCCCTCCAGTCCCAGATCATGGGGTAGAGAAGAACGAAACCTTTCCATGCAATCCCTACTCCTCATGAACTCAGAGCAGGAGGGACCTTGGGAAGTTACTTGATTTCCTGAGTTCATCTCCAGAACCGTTTAAAACCAACCTTCAGGGCTAACCATCAGTTTTCCCCAGTTTTCACACTTAGATTTCTATACTGAAAATGCTTCCTTTTTCTGTCTATTCCCTGTCTCTTTCTCTGTCTCCCACTCCAGGACAACATACTTCTACCTGCAAGGTCTCCCCTCATTCACCACCCGTGTACTTACTAGAGACTTTCTGGGACTCAGTTTCCTCATCTGCAAAGTGGGAATGAGAATACCCCCCTGCCCAGCCAGGATCAGGTGAGAAGCAGCAGGAAAGTTCCTCCTAATTCTTTCTTGCCAATCCCAGGCCCAGTGTTCAGAACCAGCTCCGCTGCTGCCCACCTGCTCCTAGCCTCCCTCCACTCCTCACTTGCACCACCTCTCCTGCTGTTTTCCTGTTTTCCTCCAATTCCTGGAGCAGCTGCAACAGAGACTACAGGGAGTTGGGCAGGGCGGGAGAGGTGGGGACAGGGAGGGTGCTTCATGGAGAACATTCCAGGAACCCAAACCCTGCCAAGTGGCTGCTGGCGGCAGAGAGCAGCTGCAGCACAGGGTGACTTGGCCTCCTCCAGCTGGGCCCTGTCAGCTCTTGGTCCACACCCTGAAGTATATTTCCTTTCTCCCCAAAGAGGCTCTTTGCTTGGAGAGAAGGGGCACACCCATCCTAAGTAAAATCAAGACGTGTAGGTGAGGGAGAAAGAAGGCAATACGGAAACCCTCAGGTCCCAGAGCCAAGCTTCCATGACATCCTAGTCCTACCCCTGCTCAGCACTTTTGCCTAATATTGAAGTGTCTGTTGGCATCACTCTCCTCACCAGCTGCCTTATGCATCCTTATAGTCCCAGAGCCTGGCACACAGTTGGCACACAAAGTATTATGAATAAATGAAGCAATGAATGAAAGAATGAATGAATGTAAAGTGTTTCACACAGCACCCGGGACATAGCAGACATCCCTCAAATTCTTCTTTTCCCCCAGTTGAATAATCTTGCCTCTGGCCATTTTTGCCTCACAGACATTTTTTTCTGAATTTCCCAAGTATCAGCAGGGTTATCAAGCAAAGCCTCAGAGGGTCAGCAAAGAATGGGCTTTAGGTTGACCCCGGCGGTGGCACATGAGTCAGAAAATAAGGAACCGGCTGCCCACAGTTTCACTGCCTGCCCCTTCCCCGCTCCATTCCCCAGGCCACGGGCAGCAATTCCAACTCCTACACTGGAATCCCAGGGCACGGTGCCTGGAAGCAGGAAAAGGGCTTTGAAATGGCCACTTGAGGAAGAGACAGGAGACCAATAACTCCAGTCTGGCTCTGTTACCCGCTAACTGTGACCTTGGGTGGTTCCCCCAAAACCACCCACAATGCTGATGTCAGCCGCATCTCTGTGACAATGATGGGTATGGCTAAGTTAACTCCTAATAACCTTCTCCTCCAAACTCTGGCTGTGGCCAGAGCACTTGTGGCCCTGGAAGATGAGTCCTTCAGGAGGTGCACTTGGCAGAGAGTTCACTTCTGTCAACGCCCACACCCCTGAGGTCACCCCAAAGTGAGAGACACAATCCCCAGGGCCTGCCAGCTTGCCAGATAATCCACCCCGTGGCCCTTCCCACTGGAGAGTGTTAGAGATACCACAGGTCTGTTTAAGTCAAACAACTGCAAGGAGAGCTGAAAGCCCACTGCATGGTCTGGCATCTGAGGCACAGAAACATTGGCTCTGAGCTCCAGCGAATTCTAGACTCTCTCTCCCAGGTCCTGCCTTGCCAGGACCAGCTGTCAGCCTCCAGCTTGGGAGAAAGCCCTTCACCCAGGCATGAGGCTGCAAAGGAGCGAGGAGGAGCTGTTCCCAGCAGAGGAAGGCATGCTGTGGCCCACCTGTTCTGGATCTGCCTCTGGGAGCTGCCCTGTTCTGCAGCCCCCAAGCCGCCTGATGCTGTTACCCAATCTCCGGCTGGTTAGGAGAGAGCAAAGCCTTCTGGGAAACTCCAACCATCCTACCTGGATGACAGTAGATTTAGAGGGGCACAGACCATCCCCGCTTAGGGGGTAGAAAAGCAAGGTGGTGTGTACAAAGAAAAGTGGGAAATAGCCTGAGAAAACCAGCCAACCAGCCCAGGGCCCAGCTGGGAAGTCAGAACACCTAATTCGTCAGAACTGGAAGAGATCACAGCACCCACTTTCCCTATCTTCCTGGTAGAGATGGGGATTCCAGTACCCAGAACCATATGCTGGCCTCCCACCCAGGCTGGCACCTACTTTGTTTCACCTGCTGCTTTGAGTCCTCACTCAAGTTCTGCTCCTAGTGAGTCCAAGGCCTCCACCTGATTATGCCCTTTCTCCGCCTCCCTAGTGCCCAGTGCAGGGCTCATCTAAATCAGGGGTTCATCTGGGACCCACAAACAGGCCAATTCCTTGAAACTGTTTCTCAGAATTATGTACATGGGAATCCCAATGCATTATTGTGTACACGGTGAGTCCACAGATTTCCTGAAATATCTAAAGTTGTCTGAGATTGGAGAAAGGCAGACTTGGTACTTTCTGTGTTGATAGGAAACCAGGCAGGGCTTCCAGAGGGCAAATCATGGCTCTAAGATGGGGTCTCTGAGCCAGGAGAATTATTCCCCCAGGGGACACTGGCAACGTTGGAGACATTTTCGATTGTCATGACTGAGTGAGAGGTACAGGCATCAAGCAGGTAGAAGCCAGGGAAGCACCCACAACAAAGAGTTATTCAGGGCCAGGCACAGTGGCTCACACCTGTGCCCTGTGCACTGCTAATCCTCCTACAGCACACAGGGCAGCACCCACAACAAAGAGTCATTCAGGGCCGGGCACAGTGGCTCATGCCTATTATCCCAACCCTTTGGGAGGCCAAGGTGAGTGGATCACCTGAGATCAGGAGTTTGGAGCCAGACTGGCCAACATGATAAAAACCCGTCTCTACTAAAAATACAAAAAAAAATTGCTGAGTGTGGCAGCACACACCTGTAATCCCAGCTATTCAGGGGGCTGAGGCAGGAGAATCATTTGAACCCAGGAGGCAGAGGTTGCAGTGAGCTGAGGTTGCACCACTGCACTCCAGCCCAGACAATGAGAGCAAAACTCCATACCAAAAATTTAAAAAAAAAAAAAAAAAAAAAAGTCATTCAGTCCAAAATGTCAGTGGTGCCAAGGTGGGGAATCTCTGCTCCAAGAAATGCCTGTGGAGCACACCTCAGGAAAGGGGATCTGAGTCCCTCCCTGTCCACCTCTGTACACAGCTGCATGCCAGGCAGGCTGGCACAAATGGCACTGGGAGAGGAAGGTGCAAGAGGAGCATTTTGGTCAACAGGGTGGCACAGCAGGAGCCCCCAGACACTGGCTGTGCCCCTCTTAGTGGGTGGAAAATCAAGCTACAAGCTCCCCATCAGGACTGAGGAGGTGCCCAGGGTGGTATCTCACCAGGGCGTGGGGACAGAAGGCCATGTGCCTGGTCACCTGAGTCGCAGTGAGGAAAGCTGCCTCCAGCCAGCCTCTTCAAGCCCTGCATGAAAAGCCATTTCCAGACCCAGAGAACAGGAAGCCACAGTAAATGCCACTTACCTTCTGGGAGCCTGACCACCCCCTCCCCCTCGTCTTCCTCTGAGGGAAGACAAGAAGAGAGGTGGGAGGAAGGAGAGGCAGGAAAGAAGGGCAGGTAGTGAAGATGAGGAAGAGCCAAAAAGGAAAAAGAGAGAGAGATTAACAGGGATGATTTCTTGAGAAAGAGACTCTACAGAGAAAAGAGAGGTGGGAAAGCCGGGGTGAGGCCAGGGCTGATTTGTGCTTTCCATATAAGGGCTCCAAGGGGAAGGCCGAGACCCACCATGCACAGGACCCCAGGGCTCCGAGGCACAGTCGAGGCCCTGGCTCTCAGGAGCCTAAGCCCCTTGCCACCCCTGTGCCCAGGGCTCTGTGGGTGGAGTGTCAAGCAGGAGTGTGCTGGCTGGTGAGAGGCAGCCCCCAGCCCCCTTCTGCTGACCCCCCAGTGGCTCAGTGTCCCTGGCCATGCCGACACTCTGAGTAGGAGGCTGTGCCCAGCTGTGTGTCTTCATAGGTCACAAATGCATGCCACTGCCCACCTACCTGGCTGGATCCATCTTCTGGTAACTAAGGAAAAAAGTAAAGTTGACCCCAGGATCTCCCACCCAGTCCTAAAACCAGAATCCAGGGAGCAGCTTTCTGAGTTCAGTGGCCCCACATCGCCACCAAGGGCCCAGGGAGCCCTGTCTCCTTCCACCATATGAAGGAGAGGAGATGGAAAATGGGAGGAGAAGGTCGGAGGTGTGAACCTAGGGTGGCATCTGCTCAGAAGACGACCTCCTCCCAGACAGGCCCAGGGCCCTGCCCTCTACCGTGCCAACAGGACAGGCTGTTTGACCCCGAGGAGGTGGGGCAGCCATCCTTCTTCCTTCCTCAGAGCTTGGACTGCTGTCCTCAGCAGCTGGGTAAGATGCGGCCAGCAGGGGGAATAGGGACGAGGGGTGGGCACAGGCTGAGGAGAGTCAGAAGCCCCAGGTGGCAGGTCCTTCGATAGGTGGGAGGAGACCTGGGCTGAGGGGAAGAGGGCCAAGGAGATGGCAGCCAGTGATGGCCACTGCTAGTCATGGGTTTCTCTGGTAGGGTTCTGTGGGTCTGAAAAGGCAGACCGAGAGACCACTCTGAATGCCAGGGGTCTGGCCTGTGATGTCTCGTGGCTGCTCAGAGCAGAGCCAGCTGGGCTGCCAGCAGAGGCCTGGCACAGAGCAGCAGGGGCATACTTCTCTGACTGTGTGTGTACCCATGTGTGCATGTGTGTGCACCCATGTGCATGTACACAAGGGCCTGAACACCTAGAATATGTGGCTTCCAGCGGAAAGCTCAACACCACCAAGGAAACTGAGACCAGGTGTCCAAAGCCCCAAGCTAGAGGAGGCTGGGAGTGGGGAAGATTCCACAAGTCAACAGTCAGGAAGACTGCAAGGAAACCTGTCACCCCCAGCCCCTATGCAGAGAGCCCGCCCCCAGGCCTGATCTCAGCGTGGGCACAAAGCTGGCTGCTGACCAGATTCTGAGGCCCAGGTTTCTGTCCAGGACCACAACAGTCCTCCTCTCCCCTCCTCTCCCTAGCCCCCCTCCCCATCTTCCCTATTCTCAACTCACCGCCTGTGGGGTGCAACAGGATGTCCGCTGGGTTGTGGGGTTTCAGGCCCAGAGCAGACAGGGGTGTCTTGGCCAGACCCGGAGGGGACCGCACTGTGCCAGGAAGAAGAGGGGAGACATGGGGGGTGAGAGGTGGGCAGGAGGGCAGACATGCCAGCCACATGAGGGCACACTCAACGAGGCTTAGGGGTGGGAGAAGGTGCCAAGGAACCACCCTGAAGCCCAGTGCTCTGGCTCCACTGCCCTTTCCTGCCCCTGCGTTTCTCTATATTTCAGCAGTTTAAAGGATAAAGGGAAAGAGTCAGGAAATGGCAACCTTGTCCTGGCTCTGGCCCCAACCTTGAGAGAATCATGACCACCCCTAGGCCTCTGGCATCTCTCTGTGGCAGATGCCACTTTACTTTGCAGTGGCTTATAAGACACACACAGGCTTCTGCAGCTGTCTCTGACCTTCTCTATAACACATACACACAAAGTCCATTTAGAACAGGCACTTGAATGGATTCAGAGAACAAAAGAAAACTGGACCTCAGGATGGCACACCCTGTAAAGAACAGAGACAGGCAGAGATCATAGGCCAGAGCCACGCCAAACCTGAGGCCTCAGGCAGCCCCTGGCCAAGCACGTCCCTTTCAAAGCCCAGGAGAAGAGAACTTCTCAATGTTGGGCTCTGTCCCCCTCAAACTTCAGTGTCCTGGAAGGAGAATCCTGCGGTCTGTGGCCAAGAACACCCACTCCCTGTGCAAAGCCTGGACTCCTCCCAGGCCGCCCATCTGGGTTACAAGTATCATGTAACACACAAGGTCAGAAAGGGCTGCTGGCTTTTTCCCATCAGCCAAGAACCTGGCCAGATTCGGAGCTAATCTGCAGGGTGGCTGTTATGCCCAGTCACGAGATACCTGGGTGGCAGCTGCCATGTCTCCTCACACAGCCCTAAGAAGAAGTTAAAAAATGAACTGTGTTTCCTATCAGTGACATTGGGAGCCTGCAGAGGCCATAGCCCCAAGGACACTCTGCCTGCCCAGTGGCCTCAACAGACTAGCTGTGGCCCTCAAATGCCCAGGAGCCACCAGCAGCAAAAGCTCCATGACCCTCCCTGCCCCTGCTGCTTACCCCCAAAGACAGTGAGACCTACAGGAATCTCACCACAATGAAAAAATATACTCTCTCAATGCAAGCAATATACATAACTCATTTGTGCAGGCGAACACCCATATGCACATGAGAACAGGAAGACATCACAGGGGTCTGGATGGGTGGTACACCCCTGCCCTTCACCCTCACTCTGTCCTTGGATAGGTGACAAATGGGTACAGCTCCAGGTATGGGATAGGTCTAGGCCTTGTGCCTCTGTCTGTCTTCTCTCTGTCTTTACATAGACACACACACACACACTCTCACACACACACACACACACACTCTCTCACACACTCACACACACACTCACACACAGATTCAGTTTCTACCACTGCCATACCCCCTCTTCCCTATCATGGTGTCTTGCTCATATTCACTTATCAAGCACTTATTAATGTTTCTCAAACCAATGGTGGTTGAATGAAATTAATCATGAAAGAATATGCCTGGCCTCAGAGACTGTCGTTCACGGAATAACCACGAAGCAACCCCAGCCCACAAGTATGTACATGTTTACCCAATTGGTGCAGCAGAGGGGCGGGTGGGCCCATGAGGAGGTGAAGGGGATGAGAGGACCAGACAGGAGCTCTCTCTTGGTTTCCTCCCTCGTTCACCTCCAGCTCCCAAATTCCTCATCCCCCCAGTTCCTGGGCAATTGGGCCCTTCTGCTGAGGCAGATGAGTGGGCGACACTAAAGCCAGTCAAGGCTTTTGCTTCCTGAGAGAAAAATTCCGCACATTTCTCCGCCTTCTGTCTTCTCTCTCTAACTCTGTGTACTGTGGGACCTCTGACTTCTTGCCTAGGCACCCATGGCTGGCCAAGTGGAGGGAGAGGAGAAGGCAAAACCCAGTTCTAGCACAGCCTGGGGGGCTTCCCCTCTAGGCAGGGTGATGTCCTTCCCCTGGCTGCTTAGGGTCAATGGTGAACGGAAGCAGATGTCAGCAGATGTCTCCCTGGGAGAGAGGTTCCCAACGGTCACAAGAGGCTACAGAGCTGGCTCTCGTGTAACCCGCTCCAGGGTTACCCTGTCCAGCACAGCAGCCACAAGCCACACGTGGCTGCAGAGCACTTGCAGGGTGACCAGAGTGAACAGAGACATGCCATAAGTGTGAAACACACACCAGGTTTTGAAGACTGAGTGGGAAAAAGAACACAAAACCTCCCGCTCTTTTTCACATTGATGGTATGTCGAAATGCTAACATTTTAGACTGGGGTTAAATCAAACATATTAAAATTAATTTCACCAGTTTCTTCTTACATTTTATAAGAGACCGTAAAATAGCTCAATACTTCTAATTGATTTATTTGCCTATTGAAATGATATTTTGGATTTAACAAAAATGTTATTAAAATTAATTTCACCTGTTTCCCGTTGTGTTTTTTAAGATGACTAGAGAATTTTAAATCATAAATGTGTTCATATTATATTTCCATTGGACAGTACTGCTCAAGGGAGAGCTGCAGCTTCCAAGGGCCACCAATCAGTCACAGCTTCAGCCTCCTTATGCCCAAGATGAGAGCCAACACAAGTTCTGCCGGCACAGGTGACACGTACATTGCCACATTCCTCTCCAGAACAGGACACCCAGGCCCCAGGGGAATGCACAGCCAGCTCCGGTCCTCCCTCCTCTCGCCAGGGCCAGTGGATAGCCCGGGCCAGGTCCAGCTAACCTGACCCCTGAACAGTACCAGTCTCCCTTTCTTGTGCTGACCCAGGCCGCTCATGAGTACACTGAGTCCTTCACAGCCTGGTATTAATCCATCACTTCCCTCCCCACAACCAGCTCCTCCAGTTTCTCTTCATGTCTCTTCTCCTATAAAAAGGAACACTGACCCATGTCTCGACTCATTTGGGTCTTGGCTTTAGGTAGACATGTCTCTGTCCTTTGGGGATTTGCCTCTCCAGCAAGTATATGGAGAGTTGGGGGCTAAATGCCTCTGCCTGGAGGCCGAGGATGAGTGAGCTGGGGGCTCTGTCAGCCTAAGGGTCCTGGAGCCCTCTCTCCTTGGTGGAAGAAGCTAAACAGTTGCCTGAAATGGAAAAGGTGTCTGGATGCAGGCAGAAATGGGGGTCAGAAACAAAGTCAAAGTTAAGTCACAAACAGTCATGCTAAGATGATGGGGTCTTTTGAGTGTGGAAGGCAAAAAGACTCTAAACAAGTAAGAAAACTCTGCAATGTGGGAGCCCAGAGCCCCGTGATCACTTAGCCTGGACCTTAAGAACTGGAGCGTCTGTACCCTTAGATGTGTGAGTGTGGGTGACAGAGAAGACAATGGCCACAAGCAGTGGAAGAGAAGGGGCCATGGGGGTGAGGAGCAGCGTGTTCTGGCCCCACCTGGGGCACCCCCAACCCTCAGGCCTGGAGCACTCCCACAGGCAGGTTTGAGTTGGGGGGTGGAGGGGAGACAGGGAAGACGAGCTCAGCAGGGAATCCTTACCCCCACTGGGCGGTGGGCTGCTGGGGGAGGCTCCCTCCATCTCCTCGAAGGCCTCCTTGTAGCTGTGCAGATGGGGCTGTGGGAGAACATGGGAGAGGGAAAGAGGGACACTATGAGAAGGAGGGGTTTCCCCTTCAGATGACCTGGGGTACGAGCACAGCAAGTTAACCAGCTCCTGCATCCCACTGCCAGCCTGGCTCCCCACTGGTGCTCAGGGCAGGACAGGTCCTGCCAGAGGCAGGAGATAAAAGATAACCCAAGTCACTTCTATGCAGAATGACTCATCAGCCTGGCTTTTATAGGCCGGTACACTTGCTCCTTCAGTGTGGTCCCTGGACCACCTACAACTGAATCTTCCAGGGTACACAGTTAGAATGCAGATTCCTAGGTCCCATCCAGACCTCCTACACTGGAACCTCTGGAGGTGGATTTGGGAAGCTACAGTTTTAACAAACACCCCAGTGGTTGTTACTCACGCTGAAGTTTGAGACTCACTGCCTCCAACCACTGAAATATCTTAAAATATAAACCTTTTAGAATGAAAATTAAACCTCCCGAGAAAAAACTTATATCTGGAAAGGGTTCAAAAACAATTTTTCCACTCTCCAGGATCTGGTTTGGAGTTTAGAGATTGCATTCAGCTATATCATCACCAGGATTCTTACCACCTTACTAAGGCACTCTCTAAGAATCAAAAAGGAAAATGCAATCTCGATATTAATGCAAGAAGTGAGAACATAAAGCTATTTAAGGAAGGAAATGGGCCCCGGATTCCACATGTCAGAGAAGAGAGTTTGGGTGAGGATGTAGGGGGAGACAAATTACTGAGAATACTATCAGTGCCAAGCTGACCATCAGGTTTCTGGAGATTTAAAGGGGGCACCACTACCCTTGGCAGTCCCCAGATGCAGCTTAAGGACTCACCTCTTTGGGCCGCCCTCCAGGATTAAGAGCGATGGTAAGAGCCAGCTCAGGGGAGACACAGTGGACAGGGGAGCGAACCCCAGGGCTACGGGGGGATGTGGCTTCTGGAGACTGGTTCTCATACTGTCCATCACTGGCCGCCCGCCTCCGCAGAGGGGCTGGGGGTTCTGCAGGCTGCTTCTCCCGAGCCTGTACCCCTGGGAGGAATGCAAGGTGCAGAGGACAATGAGCATTTTGTGCAAGAAATGATCAATCGGCCTAATCCCTACAGAGAAGGCAGTGCCTCCTAGCTCAGAAGCTGAGCTGGGGCTGGCCTGTCAACCCCCAGTATCTCCCTTCAGCCCTCCTGCGCCCACTCTGTTCACACCCCAGGTTTTCTCTGCAGGAGAGGAGATCTGCTTGGACTGACTCAGCCTTCACCAGGAATCCCTCCACTCAGGGCTGAGACTGAGAGCACAAAGGACTGATACAAGAAACAGATGTCAACTACTTCCAACCCCTGGAGGCGGAGGGCCGGAGCTTCCAGAGGAGGGAGGGAAGGTGGAGGGAAAAGAGTCTCCAAGGCAACCGCATCAACCAAGCAGCAACATCAAGCCTGCGGGGAAGAACTCTTGGAAAGAGCTAGATTGCATCATCTTGCAAATGGCGCTCCCAAGGAAAAACAAAGACATGACTAAGTCTTGTTACAAAGTCCCTGGCCCCCATTGGCCTCTGGGATATTTTTGGTCTTCTCTGGGGTTCCCCAACTTAATCCAGTAGACCACTGAAACCTCTTACCAACTCCCCTTATACTGGTCCCTTAGCTCCCCGCCCCATTTTCCCTGCCCCAGAGATGACGGGGGATCCCATCCTGTCCCTCCCAGCTGAGGAGCAGGCAGAGAGAAGTCATGTGCTCCATCTGCTTTTCTGCACTCCCCATCCCAATCCCACTCCACAGGACTGGGGATGCTGTTCATCTCACCCTCCTTCCTTCCCACTCCCTCTTCCCACAGCTGGGCTGAGGCATGGAATCCATTGCCTCATTGAGCTGGCTCCCAGAATCCTAGAAAACTCACTTCCTGGGTCCCAGAGGCCAAGACCCAGCCTGAAGGGTGGGCTTCTGGTCCTGAATATCTTCTGGGAGGAGATTCTCAGCCCTGCCTTCACTACCACTAGAACTGGCCAAAGGCCCCAGATCACGTGTCAGTGTGTGCACGTGTGCACACACACACTGCCATCCTCTAGGAATGTGCCAGTACAGCCAAAAAGAAGTCACCGTCATTCAGACGGAAACATCTTCTGCCATCCACAGTGAGAACTGCATGTCCCCAGGCCCGCCCCCCAGCACCCCCCAGTCTGGCATAGCCACAAAGGCTGCCACAAACAGCGCCGTCTGGGAAGCCTTCCTACGCATCATGAACAGCAAGCTGCCGGCTGCCAAGCCTACGGGCAGACACACACTCACACTCACACTCACATAGGCACAGTCACTCTGAGACACGCCCTCGTACTCTCCCATAATCAGGGGCTCTGGTGTGCGGGGGGGTGCACTGGGAAAGCAGCAGGACCGGCACTTGCACATTAAATGCAGAAGGTTTCCGAGTGGTGCTTTGAGTTTCCACTTTGGGCTCTTTATGAATCAGGGGCAGCCCTGCTGCCATCTCAGCTAAGAAACTAGTGCCCAGGATAGGGACAGTGAACTAGACTCTGACCTCACTCTGCCACTTACAAACTGCTCCGCTTAAAACAAATAAGCCCTACCGCCTTGAAGAGCCCTTATTCATAGAATAGAAAAGTAGGACCATTAGACCCAACCAGGGGCTGCCAGGAGAGTCTACATGGAGTCTAGAAAGAAGGGTGTGGTTTTGGGAAGGGTCCCTACAGCAACCCAGAATCTCAGGCTTCAGCTCCCCGGAGCCCCCGCCCCACTCAGGCCTCCTGGGTAGCTTGGACCAACCCTGCCACTGGTTTCATTCCTGGCAAAAACATTAGAGAGAAACAGACATAGCCATTGATTTTCTAACAATAACTGTGACAAAAGAGGCCCATTTGGGAAAGGCTCTTGGGGTTTGGAACTGAGTTCAGCCCCAAGGTTAAAAGAAATGCATTAGGGCTGGTCTCAGTTCCGGGCTCCTCTGCCCCCAGCAGCTCTTTCTGGCAGATCCCTCTGCCTTTTCAAAGTGTGGCCAGTTTTCCTGCTTGGGATCTAACGTTTGTCCTTAAAAAATAGATCTGTTTGCCTTTGAGGCACCAAATCTCCTGGAAAAACAAAGAATGTTCCGCCCGACCTGCCCAGAGCATGCTCCACATTCAGGGGCCACAGATGCCCACAGCAGCCTGGGGTGCAGAAGGAGGGAGCCAGACAAACGTGGAGAATGTGTGACCCTGGCACGAGGCAGTCAGCCCTCCGAGGGTGAGCTGCACCTTCCCAATCCTCTCTCCATCACCACCAGAATGGCATGTGGGAGGGTGTGCTGACCAGAGGCGGGGAAATGGAGGGAATGACCTCCAAGAGCTAAGGAGCTGCAGGGCAGCGCCTCCCTCTGCGGAAGGGGGAAGACCCTGCATTCCACTCCCACGGGGCCAGCCCCTCCCCCTGCAGAGCACCAATGGCCCCATGGCACCAATGGCCAGTCAGGGCCACTCACATTCTTTGAACACAGTGTCCCACTGTTGTCCCCGCTGGCAAGCCCAGATCTGCCTGGAGTGCCTGGAAAGCCATGTTCCCTCTCTCTTGTCTTGCTCTATGGGAGGGGAGACTGGCGTGGCAGAGGGGAGAGAAGAGAGCCCCATTGTTCCTTAGCCAAGCTGGGGTGTCTGGACACAAGCTGACAGCCAGTGTCGGGGAGAGAACACCCTCTCTCACGTCCCAGAGGCTGACCGATAATAAAAATAGCCCTGTTCCCCCCATCTCCCTCCCTCCCACCACTCCCCTCCACCCCAGGGCTTTCTCAGTCTCTTTGCCCCATTCTCTCAGGGTCTCTGTCTCCTACACCCACTCTGACAGAGGCAGCTGCCTTGCACAGACACACATGTGCATACTTGCATGTACACACACAGCCTAACAGAAATGGCAGCAGGACACTGGGACGATGGGTGTACATAGTGGGGCCACTGGGTCACCCTTGGAACCTCTAGAACAGGCGTCCCCAAACTACGGCCCGCGGGCCACATGCAGCCCCCTGAGGCCATTTATCCGGCCCCCCGCCTCACTTCAGGAAGGGGCACCTCTTTCATTGGTGGTCAGTGAGAGGAGCACAGTATGTGGCGGCCCTCCAACAGTCTGAGGGACAGTGAATTGGCCCCCTGTGTAGAAAGTCTGGGGACGCCTGCTCTAGGGCCAGCCCTTACCCCAGCAGGAAGCCGTGTGGCCAGAGGAAGAAAGGAAGAGAAGCTTCCAGGAGCCTGAGAAGGCTGGGGTACTCCTACGACAACAAAGTATTTTTAGGACCCTCACACTCTATGTTCAAGGAGCCCTGGGTGTCCTCTAAGGGCTGCTTCACACACGGCATCAGGTCTTCCCCACAGTCCTGCCAGGATGAGCAGTTACCCCAGCTCCATGGTTCCACCCAGGCCCCCAGACTTGAGGGGCAGGGCACCAGAGCAGCGCTCTTCCCAGGGAGGCGTCTCTCCAAGGCTCCCCTAGCGTGAGCTAGACTGGAGGCAATTAATCCCCTTCTTGCGACACACACACACACACACACACACTCACACACTCACACGCACATGCACACACCCTGCAATTCTAGGAGCTGCAGCCCTGACACAGATCGATGCACATACTTTGGCAAAGCACTGCTGCCTACCGCCCCCAGATCATGTGAATGAACACCCTGCTGTCATGCTTCATGAGGTGCCTCCCCTGCACTCCCCAAACTGGCACTGCCACCCTCACAGATCCAGCTCTTCTTTCCAGCCTTCCGATTTCCAAAAGACTGGATTCCTCAACTCCAGGTGGCAGGGGTGGGTGTCCGACGGCACGCCTGGGGCTCCGGAAGCGAGGGGATCCAGGAGGCCACCTGCTGGGCCAGGGCACCAGAAAGCCACACGGCGATCACACTAGCAGCCCTAGGGCAAGCCATGCCAGCTCTCCTCAGGGCAGGCCCACCATCCCAGAGCCTGCCCCTACCCAGGCCCAGCTGACCACTGCACTGTCCACCACTGAGCAGAGAGAAGGGCAGAGAGAGAAGAGAGGAGGGAGGGGCAGTTGAAGGGGGCAGTCAGCTTGAGCCATCTCCTGATTATCCCTGGACCAGGAGAAGGAGGGGCTGTGGAGGCACCAGATATTGCCATTGGGAATCAACAGTTCCCATCACCCCTGGGCCTTTTCCCAGAGCTGCTCAGGGTCATGGTGTGGGACAAGCCTGAGCACAGCATCTTCCCTGACTCAGCTGCCAGGATCGGAGGTGCAGGGAAAGGATGAAGTGATTCCCCAGCCAGGGTGCAATGCCTAAGGGCTTACGTGTCCCAGAGGCCAGGGGGAGATGTTAGTGGATGGTGTAATCTGTCCTGGGCATGTCGAACCACCATGCAAAATACGCAACAGGACAGGACTGTCATCTGTCCACTTTTCACATTGGGAAACTGAGCTCTAAATAGTAAACAGACTTGCCCAGGGTCACAGAGGTGGTCACGGGCAGGGCCAGGACCCCAACCCAGAGTTTCTGACTCTTGGCCCTGGGATCAGAGATTAGGGGTGGGGACCCGAGGGGGTTTGCTGTCCCCAGGGTGTGCCATGCTCAAGAGTGGACAGAGCAGCAGGGGCTGGGGCACCACTCTGTGTTGTGTCTGGTAGCCCCGTGCAAAGTTCAGCCTGGCTCCTGCTGAGACATAGCCCTGCAGCCCAGGTGGTCTGGCCACGGTGGCCGGAGTGCTGGACTGTCCGGAGCCCTCACTGAGCACCCTCATTGCCAAGGTCTGAATGTTAGTCTAGTCACTCCAGACATTGTTCCCAGCAGGCAACGCCAAGGCTAATGGGAGACCCATGTTCATGCAGAAGTGAGCTCTGGCTCATGCAGAGAGGAGGGAGAGAGGGCTGGAGACAGGAGGGACAGAGAAGCAAGTGAGGAGACAGAAGAGAGGACAGTGAGAAATAGGGGAGGAGAAGGAGAAGCAGATGGAAACCAGAGAACAACAGAAGAGGGAGAGGAAAAGACAGGAGAGAAGGAAGAAGGTGTGCAAAGGTTTGGAAGGAATAGCACATGAAGAAGGAGCGAAA